AAACAGGTACCCTTGATACCGAGAGAGTTTCGATTCAGTAATTACGCAGGTTAACAGTGGTAAGTACTTATGCGGATCTAATTATGTTTCTGCCATCGCTCCCGAGGGCGATCTTTAAACGTTAATGATTAACTAAAAGCCGCCAGCGTGGGAAAGTTTGCTCTTAAAAGGAAATCAAAGTAAGACACTTCCACAGTAGCCACCACAGAGTGTAAGGCAAGCATTTAACAACTGATCTAAGAGGTTTCAAGAGGCGAGTACAAGCTTTGAAAATTTTGTACAAGTTGAGTCAACTGACACTGATACTAAAAAAAGATTAAGGTTACTTCCTACCTTCAGAGGCCGAAAAAAATCTTTTTTTCTTTTATTGAACTAGATTGAAGTTCGATATTTTACCTAACAATTTCAAAAAGAAAAATTTTAAATTCTCAAAAAGCGTTCGACTTATTTAGGAAAACGTATTTTCAAATAAAAATTAATTAATCAGGAGGGTGTCATAATCTCGTAAAGGGGCGAACCCCCTGGGGGGATACTCGCGGCAATTTCATGTTATTTGCATATTTTGTTTACATCGCGCACTTGACAAAATTGACACGTGAAAGTTCTCTGCTGGTGGAAAGTCTTTTCTCATGGATAAAAGCAGAAATCAAAATTAGAGAGGAGTCCTTGGGAAAAGAAAAAGAAAAAACAGGCCCAAAGAGGAGAGAAATGGCTCCATTTTGTCAAGAAAAACAAACCAGTCCTGACACTCCTCTCCACGCTGGCATCCAAATTACGAACAAAGAAGTCGCCATCAAATCTACATTTGTCGTACATAAGGTTAAAACGGAGTTCCTTTCACTAAGCAAGTACCGGCCTTGATACAAAACATAGGCAATCACCTCGAATCGTATGAAATCATGAATAAACCTACCCGAGGGAACTCATTTCAGCGATAAGGATATTACTTAAGCTGTCTGTCGTTTCGCTGTTTTCCTTTTCAGCAGTTTCTCGAGCTTCACCTTTTATGCCGCGGGTTTTTTCTTTGTCAATTTTTCCCATTACTCAACGTTCAACAGAGCGAGATAAAAAAAACCTGACTGCTATGAGGTACTTTTCCCGGGAAAATCTTGATGCATTGTCATTGACACCAGGAGGTCCCGTCTTCTCATTGGTTCGCGGTTTCAGGGGGCGAGATAATGTGGCGTTAGTTGTTTACAAACCTTTTGGAGCTAAAATCTCGCATTTGATTTTGAGAGGAATACGTCCACTTTTGAGCGAATTTATAGGGTATGTAGATTTGACCGATTTTCGTGAAAATTCGCCAAAACATTCCAGGGATAATGACGAACGAAAGCATGTCAGGAAATTTTGATATTTGAAATCTTTTTCACGTTGTGTCCATTTACGCAACACAGTTCGCATATTTTACGCTACTCTAACTTTAGATGCGGATGTCTAGACAACCAATCAGAATATCGGAAAAGCCTGACATATTTTTGTTGATTGATACCATGTGAATAAGTCTGTGCAGCCATTTTGCTCGTGCTGCGGGATCCGATACTCTACAAATTCAATAGAAGGACCCTCGGTCGTTTGACGCCTTACCGGCTCTTGATACTCCCTAAATAAAAAATAGACTAATTTTTATTTTTTATCGTAAACTGCATTTTTTAAGCTTTCTTTTGATGTATAGTTCGTTAGGGTTTTCTTGAAACTAGCTCGCCTACGAATTTTTTCCCGGAGGATGCCTGCCAAGGTGGGAAGTAACCTCAAGCAGAGCACCCTGTGACACGGCTACATGGAGATATCTCCACAAAAGTGTCTGATCTTTCGCTGATGTATGAATCCTTCAAGGTAATTTACATAAGCTCGGTACCTGTGAGTAAATCATTCCAAAAAGTTCACAGCATAACACTTTTATGTATCACTCACTGCTTTGACGAACTGATCCAGCGATTCCTGAGGCTTAGATGAAAGTTAATCTCTTTAGCTCATCACACGGATTACAAGAATAATAATTTCATTCAAGGTTTTTTCAGAGATTGAACTCCATAAATCTTACAAGAAATAACGTGCGTCTTTCGACTTCAAATTATTTCTCGAGACAATCTTTTGTTGTTTTGGTCTCAGGATATATTTTCATTTCATTGTAGGTCAGCCCTAAGGTTTGGAGTGAACTCAGGTACGAAGTACGCCACGTGGTGCACTTCCTTTAACAAGAACACGTAGTTTTTCTTTCCAATTTATGATTGTATCGATCTAAGCTAGGATAAATGCATGGATTTGGTAAACAGTAGACCTGCCTTCTTTGATTTCCACTCAAATCATGTTTGCCCACACCCTCTCAGTAATGTCTCCCCTCAAGCTCTCTATCTTTTTAATGTAGATAATTTTGAAAATAATATATAAACAATTATACCTAAAATGTGGACGGGATATGTGAATAAAACTTGTTGTTGAACCAGAAGGCTTTAGGCGAAACAGATTTTTTCTCCTTAACTAGACCAAAATAAGTCGGTTGGCTTTACTTCACAGCAGAACAAAATTCGCTTTATGATATCACATCATAGAAAATGGCCCGCAAAAAGTGACAGGTTCGGCTACTCTACCGCAAGGGCCACGGTTTGCAGTTGTCTTGATTGGAACCATGGGTGAGTAAAACACTCAAGGTCGGCGGGCGTAAACTTGTTTATGAATGAAATGATGACTTGCAATAGATAGGAAGAGCAGCATTTTTGCATGATAAGTGATTGTGTGACTGTATTTTTTTGTGATCGAAAAACCTTACATGACTTAAGTTTTCAGCACCTTTATTACATTTTTTGACTTGACTGAGTTCGCAAAGCATCCGGCAAGCGTAGACCATATGTGAAAAGCAAATCGAGATAAATAGTGAATGAGTAAATGACACCGAAAAACACTTTTACATTTCTGACTTCAAATTCTCCAGAATTTGCAAATATATCGCTCTCGACCAAATTTATTTCAAATACTTGAAGAAACCTAACTTCTAAACAACAGATAATCGTGAGAAATTCAGGTAAAACAGACAAACGAGCGAATGAATAAATATATTAAATAAAACAATTATTAAGTCCATACTGGAAATACAGCCAGGAGATACGCCTTTCAGATAAATTGCTCTCTATTTTACATTATCCTCCTCCAGTTTGATTGGTCATGTATCTGTTAGAGCCACTCGTTCGGAAACTTTCTCTCTGAAAAACTTTTCAGTTCATGTTTGTAGAACGTGATCTTCAAACGAAAATAGTCGACCATATTTTGTTTAAATCGGCCAACATTTTTTGTTTGTTTGTCTGTTTGTTAGCTTGCTTTTTTCATAAAATTAATAGAAATGGAGACCTTCACCATAGGAAGCTGTGTAAGGCACGGTTCAACTTATGGAGGGGTTTTCAAAAGGCGTGAGCAAGTTTTGAAAATTCCTCATTCAGTTAATCCAAATAAATGACATTGACATTAAGGAAAAAACGTTTAGCTTAGGCGAGATACTTGTCGAGCGTCCATGGCGTTTCGCTGTTGTAAAGATTCTTCAATAGGACAAATACTCTTCATGAGTGTGATGTTTATAGATAAGTAATGCGGTAAAGTTTATGCCTTGACATTTTTTTATTCATCACCTCTGTAACGACTTGCTTCTGTAATTCAAATCTGCTCAGATCAAAGTTGCTCTCTGTCTTTGGCTGATCACACGGATAAACCAATCATACTGAGTATTTCTTCAAAATGCGGACTTGACGAAACCACTAAAAAGTCCACGTACGTCTTTTAGTCTTTTTTTATTTCTCGAAGAAATCTTTGTTTTTTTTTTTAAGTCTAACAACAAAAATATTCTAAAGTCGCAATATTTGGGCTTGAAACCTCAGACGTAGAGAGCTCAGTAATGCAACAAGTTTTGAGTTGACTCGAAAAACGCACATCCTCTGAATATCTCACATATAGAATAGCATGAGTGCATGCATTTGATAAATTAACTGCCTGCTCCCCTCCTTTGGACTCCTAGTTCAGAGCACGCGCTGGTAGCCCGCCCTTTTCGCCTTTCGCGACACATGGACACCATCTTTATTTTATCTTTTTATTTTATATGTACCTCTGCGAAAGAGGCATAAAGTACATTATTTCAACGGGTCACTATTCATGCTTATATTGATGTTTTCAAAGAGATAAAAGTACAGTTTGCTAGCACACAAAATTTAAAAGCGGGATTGTGGCGTACGAAGTAGCCGAAGTTGCATAACTTTTGAAAATGTTTGAAAAAGGTTCATCGAAAGGGGCCTTTATGAAAAATAATATGAATTTCAAAATTTTGCGTTTGAATTTCAAACTGTTGGCGGATTCTTGATATGTAAGGTCAGTGGCTCTGAATGACTAACGTTGCATGAAAACTGATTTAATTAGTACGGTTAGATGATAAGATGTATTAAAGAACACCAGAATCAAACTTTTGAGTTTCCCTTATTTGAATTCTACAAAGTTTGCAAAGATGTCGCCCTTTACCTCATTGATTTCAAATCCTCTGGGAAAATACGCTATCCTTTAAAGAAACAATAGTCTTTGGAAAAAAATGAGTAAACATATGGGAGAATAAATGAATTAATCAATTGATGCTTTAAAGTAGATGAGCAAACTATGAAATTAATACTCTTCGCCACTTTCAAGGGATCTGTTCGGTCAGGTTCGAAAAATATCCAGCATCAAACCCGAGTTTTTAGATCAAAGACTAAACATTTTAGAAGTGCATCCTCCAAAATGAGACATACAAGTAAACATTTAAATTTTATTAATTACTAATTTATCAAATAACTCGGATCAGTTTACTCAGAGAAGGTTATTAAAAAGTGTTATAGAGAAACAGTTTTGAGCAATTTTCTAAAATAAATATTTAGCATTTGTTATCATGGTCCCTTCTTTTGGTGAGCTTAATTGTGGACGTTCTTTTCAACAGCTTTGTTTTGGAGGTTGCTTGAGCAACATATATAGAACATTGAAAGGGCAGGTACCTGTTGTACGTCCTGGGCTTGTTTCTTTGGATGGATTAATGATTCTAGCTGCCTCGTACCCGCAAGACAACACTGGTCTAATTTTTTGTTTGTTTTTCCCGCTTGTTCAAGATATTTTGGGTATACTTTCTATCAATTTACTTGTTTCATTATAATCAGATGCGCGGGCTTGATAACACGAACAAAAGCGAAGAAACACTCATTGCAGGCTGATTGATTCGTATTTCCGCAGTTTGATCAGTCGCGCATCTATTAAGAACTTGTCGTTCGGAATCGTACTTCCAGATACATGCCATTTATTTTAAAGGCTTACAATTTGATAACGTAAACTCAAATGGAAGATAACAAAAAAGAAATATCTTTCTCATGGGTGATTTTGTGCTCGATTCCCTTCCACCAAAAGCTGCAGACTAATTTCTATCGCAATGGTAACAGTACAGTAAAATTTCTAACTTAACACATTTTCGACGTTAAATTTACAAACGACTCGTCTTGTTACTGAACTGGTACATTTGCATTATATGGAAAAACATATTAATATTAATGTTGAATTTAAAGTAGTTTTTATCTCCGGATCCAAAGGATTTACTAGGTACTGTATTTTTGTCTCCATACTACACGCGAGTAATGCCACTTTGTATAATTTTAGCAGATAATAACGATAACATTGGTGGAAATACATTATTGTCCAAGCAGAGTAGTGTTTACTTTGGCACAGCTGCAATCAGGTTGAAAACGTTCCAGCCTTAGTTAAAACAAATATATTCGCCTGTGCTTCTTCTCTGCTTCTTTCTTTTCCCTCAACAAAAGAATATATGCTCAACAGTAAGAGAGATTCACGAGACATTTCTGATAGGTGAGTAATTCTAAATTGAGCTCATGGTGCACGATTTTGTTTTAGTTTTGTTATCACAAGAAGTAACTGGATGGAATTCAAAATGGACTGGCAGCATATGGATTGAGTCTTACACCTAAAGAATGATACTCTGTGCATGAAATGAACCTAGCATTCAAAGATTACTAAGTTATTGTACATTGTCGAGCCTTTAGTTCAAGAACCATTACTATAAATAATACATTTTTGGATTTGTAACCGAGGCTATTCAGGAGAGGTGAAGAAGCTTAACTTCAGATCGTATTAGAATGGACACTAATCTAGTAAAATCACAGGCCAAAAATCTACCACAGCACCTTTAACGACTAAATTCAAATAATCTCGCGGTTGCTTTCGAATTATCATGCACTACAATTCTTCGGATTAAGCAATCAAGGTTGGATATTATTGTTACATCTTCGATGAAATGTAGTTGAAGATGGAATTACAAGGGTGGAAAAATGTCCTTTGCCTCAAAGTAGATGCACGAAAAATTTTTTTAGGATTAGCAATCGATTTTGATGGGGGTAAACTATTTAATGGGTACGAAATCGAATAAAACTAGAAACCTCACCATCTCGCGGTTTTACCTAACGTCACTAGCAGATGTTTGTCTCAAATTGGTTTTTCAGGAGAAAGCGTTTTTTTTTTTCTTAGCTCTCTCCAGATCCTTGAAGTTTTCGAAGGAAAGATTTAGCCTTTGTTTCAATTAAGATTAAAAAAAAAACTCTGTTTATAGTTTTTGTTATATGCCCTCTCTTAAGTAAACACTGTTACAGTACGAGTTAAAAGGATAGCAATCTGTCAAAAAAGATTTTTTTTTGTCGTCTACGCGCGCATAAAGATATATGCTGTTTCCTTTTTTGGCGCTCCTTTTGTTATTGAAATGGGCACTGTTGTGTCTTGAACCACAAATGAGATTTAATTTTTTCTTGGCGGTTTAACATACTAACAAGTTGAATTGAAATGAGCGCAAGTGCTGACATTAAGGAACTAATGAACTGATGGTTGATTAGCATTTAAAGATGCCGCTTGGGTTAAGTGCAATGGTGGGTGTTCTCCACTGATATCCATCAAATAAGTCAATTTAAATTATCTATCTTCAGAAGGACAGGCCAGGAAATAAATCTTCATCCTAGAGATTAGATCTGAAAAAGTGGATCTTTCCTTGCAAGGCAGATGAATGAAAACTTCAAACAATACTGGAAACATATTACCAAATATTTGAGAAAATTAACACAATTATTTCAATGTCTGAGCGTATGAAAACGTGATGCCAGTTTTATCGACTTCCACAAACCCTTCACGGCTGTTTACACCGCGGCCAGAGATAATACAATTTGCATCCTTGATGCCATAGAAATGTTTCTTTTTCTTCCTGTGAACATTATCATTTTACGCATTAGCGTTTCCAAGAGCATTCTTGAAATTTGTTATAACCAACAAAATAATGATTTTTAAGGCTAAATGAGTCAAACTCACGGTTATTGCATTCTGATATAGTTTGATGTTAATTATAAGAAAGGTTATTTCGTGAATTTTAAATTCAAGAAACATATTTTTCATCGACCTTCAAGAGTGATTGATACCAAAAGGTGGTTCATAAAACTGCATAGATCATTCCTCAAAAGGTTGCATTGGGCGCTTGGTTAAATTCTATGAAGTTTTCGAAGGGCTCAAGTGTCAAGTGCTTCTGCTTCTGTGCCTAAGAATTAAAATTCTTAAGACGAGTTTATAGTCCATGTTAACGATATGAAGAAAAGTCTTTGGAAACTCCTTACAACAATATGTTTTGAAATCCCCGGAAGGCTTTTTTTGTAAGGTATTGCAGAAGTTTGTTTTTAACTTCAAAGTACGTTTTGGGAGATTTTAAATGTCGGAAAGGAAGCGTGGACAACTTTAATACCGAGCTTATGAGTACAAGAACCCCTCGCAAAAAGCCTCAACCTTTTTTCAAAACAAAAAAAACCTTCTGACTCTCTACAGTGCATTAAATTACTGCAGATTCGAAAAAAAAAACATTGCATTCGTCATAGAATCCGACTGGTATACAGCAGTTTCTTAATGAAAAATTTTCCTTGCGGACTACTCAGATTTTAAAACTTGCCCCCTGCTCGCAAAGGATAAATTTGAGGTATTCCTTCTATTTATGTTCCATTATTTTTTCTTGTTTTGGAACAACAAGATCAAAGCAAGCTACAAATGTCACTATCATCGTCTACTTGTTTACAGTTTTATCCATTTGCAGAAAAGTAATTCCTATCAGCTTTACTTAAGGGAATGAGGCTTGGATTACAAAACAAAAGCCTTCTAAAGATGCTGTTATTTACTTTCTTCATTTGTCATGAGTTGAGGACTTAGGATCCCACGGCACTAAATTGGCTCGTACACAAATTCTCTCACCTTCCATCAGTTGTCTGATGTTCCCATTGTATTTTGTTGTAAAGGTCTTGACATTCTCCTTTACAATATTTTTTAACAAGTTTATCAAAAACTGGCTCATCCAAACAAAGATATAAGCGGGAAATCAAAAAAAGTTGGACAAACCAATTCTATTTTTTTACGACCTCGTTAATTAAATCTATGTCTTTACAACAAAAGCCAATAGCAGGAAAAATAAAAAGCAATTTATCTTTTTCAAACATAAAACATTGAAGAGAAACCGAACATAATTATTTTCAAAAGTAAACATTCCATATTATTTATTTTGTCTGGATTAAAAATTTACTTTTAAAGCAAATTTGGACGTTCCTCTTGAATTTTGTGCTAATGAGTGGGGAGATGTGTCTCAAAGCAACTGAGAAACCTTCAACTGACAAAAGCAATCGGAAAACCGTGGGAAGTTATTCCCACAGACAAGAAAACGATCGGAAAACAACGATTTACGATCAATTTTAATGTCACTTGGGGAAAAATACAACAGCGACAGATCCTGATAAAAATCGAAATATATTTTTAGATTTTGAAACATTCAACAACATACGCGAGTGAACGAGGTTTTAAGTTCACATGAAGACCAAGGTTCGCAATCTTAGAAAAAAGCATAAGGAAAACCTCGAACACACCACTACTGGTAGAAAATGCTCAGGTAACGAATTCGAAACCTCAGGCGAAGGGAGTTTCTCAAAAAGTACTTCATTGAATGACAAAGCTATAAGGCCCTGTCCACTTAAATGTGTTTTAGGTCGAGAATACATACTTTTTATGCGTTTTTGCCTACCATCCACAATAGGACGCCATAAAATCTGATAAAAATGGACACTTGTGAAAACGGTTTGAAAGCTTGAGTGTTTTGAAACAGTAGATCGTTTTCAAAAACGATCCGTGTCATGAGTAGACAATTGCAAGTAAAAAAGAAAGCTTTTGAAAACGTCGAAGAATGTGTCACATACTGTCGCTTTCATCCGCTATTTCATCCTTTTATTTGGGACAACGCAGTCAAAATGTATGCGTTTTCATATGAAGATGAAGACAAGTGGACAGCTGAGAGCAAAACGGAAAGATTAAGGTGTAACTATATTGGTTCGTTTTCCAGTGCTTGAGATGAAAACGCACACTTTTAAAAACTCATTGCTAAGTGTGGTTGGGGCTCATTAGTACGTTCCAGGCCTAACCAAGTGCAACTTTATGAGCCGTAAAAGAAGGTTAGTAAACAGAGAAAGATGTCAAAACGGAAAAGAAGACTGATTTTCTTTTAATTAGCAAGCTTTTATTTTTTGCATGACTTAAACGGTTGCAAATATATTATACTCACAGAAGGTTGATCATTGCTTTTCAAGTTAATCCACTGTGGTGTGTTGGTCGGTAATGATCACTCTCTGTGCTTTTAAATTAATCTGATACACTGTTGGCCTTGACAAGTCAACTGATTTTCGCTTAGAGTCGGAGAGATTAAAAAATATTTATACTGAACTAATGAATTGGTTTCAAAACTGATCAATAGTAAACCAATGTCTATTTTTTTCTTCTGATACATTTGTAAACCACCGAGGATAGCGAAAGCTGGTTATCATAGTGAGTTGCTTAGACTGAAAGGCTGTCTTGATTTTTTTCTAAAATAAAAATATTTTGTATAACAGCCATCAAGACTCAGGATATCTAAATCTGCACGAAGACCGGTGCATTCACTATAGATTTAGTCGGTACTGTGTCAGGTATTAAGTTATTTAAAAGGCTAAGTTTTCCATCTCATCTTAAGCTTTAGCTAAAGAAATCTCAACAAATCTACCATCATCGTTATCTAATTTTATCTCCACCACAATGCCGCTATTTCCCATTATTTAGGGACATAGATATACATCTATTTGTGTCATACATACATACCTAAATATACTTTATTTATGGTCGAAATTTACAGAGTAGCTGTAGAGCTAATATCTTCGAGAAAATAAGCTAAAATAAAATAAAATATGCTATATTACAATTCCAATATTATTTATATACTATGTACAAAATTATGCATGCAGAGGGAAATTTAACTTATAGATCTACAGTGGAGCTAATAAATTCGAGAAAATAAGCTGAAATAAAATAAAATATGCTCTATTACAATTCCAATATTATTTATATACTATGTACAACATTATGCATGCAGAGGGAAATATAACTTATAGATCTGTCGGGATCGAAAGATGTGATAGGTCAAGGTAAGTGAGAAAACGACTGTGGCTATTACTTGTATAGGAAATAATAAAAAATCTGCTCTCTTTTCGTTTATTAGAGTGAAGCTACAGGATATGGCCTGTTCAAAGGAAACAATTATCACTTAACCTTTATCATCTCTACTATCTTTCAGTAAAGTTTATCTTCTACAACTGGTATAAGTCGGCGTAAAACTAAAGAAAACTTAACAGCACCAAAACAAAAGCTATTGTTCCATCATAAGAAGCTGCATTTTTCAGTTGCAACACAGCCCCAGTACATAGAAAAGTCCTCACATTCAACGGCGTGATGGAAAATTCAACCGAAACTGGAAAAACAGCAATGACTGCACTGCAATTGACAGAGTATACATTCTTTGCTGTTATATTTATCTTCGCTGTGACCGGAAATATCCTCGTCTGCCTCGTAATTGCACAGACACCTCGCATGCGTACTACTCGAAACTTTCTACTGGTAAACTTGGCAATGTCAGACCTAATGGTGGCGTTATTTTGCATCCCGTTTGATGTCACGCTAAAAGTAACTTTTCCTGTTTGGCCTCTTGGTGAAGCTATGTGTAAAGTTGTGTGGCCTGCTATGACACTGTTCACAAACTGCTCAGCGGCAACTCTTGCAGCAATAAGTTATGATAGGTAGGAAATTGTTGGTTTAGTTGTTAATGGGAAAGCAATGGTAATTTTTGGCGAGTTGCCCCTCTTTTCTTGATGTCAGGTATTTTCTCCTTGACAACAACTACAGAAACAACATCCTTTACTTACATATGACCTACATTATGGCAAGGAAATGGATTGTTTACGACAATGGACGCCTCTACTAGGCAGAAAACGATTTTCTGCATAAATTTTCTTCACGCTCAGAACCGCCCTACCTAATACTTCATTTATACCCAAATTTTCAACCTTAACGACCACTTTGGATAATTTAATGACACTGTTCCATCATTTGAAGTTTTTTTCTGTTGTTTTTAGATCATTGCTTTTCTCGGAAATTCTGAGGGGAACTAGAAATAGGTATTAACGTAGGAATTGACCTATGTGTGGTTCTTCATTAACGACTTTTTTCCGTAATAGGTATCGAGCCGTAATATACCCCTGGAAACCTCGCTTCACTGCAGTTCAAACATCCATAATAATAAGCTCCACATGGTTAATGTCTTTGCTTCTCGTTTTACCCTACATTTTGGCGCTAAAGATGGTGAAAGGTAAATGCGAGGAAGACTGGCCAGTGCCTTTTGCTGTAAAACTGTATACAATGGGCTTGTTTGTGTTCCAGTATGCACTTCCACTCTTGATTATAGGCTTCGCGTATTCCATGGTGGCGCTGAAGCTACATGAACAAGCAACCCTCCTGGCAAGAAATCGTAAAGCGAGTGGCATATCTGTGAGTGCATATAAAAACGCTAAGAATGCCGGGTCCATGGAGCCTGCTGCAGAAAGCGAGTTACCCTCAAACGATCCCTCCTTTGCTCAGATGTCGATCACGAATAGCAAAACAAACTCCACAACAACTAAACCTTCAAACACGCGGCAAGAGGAGAAGCGGCTGAGGCGAACAACGAAGATTGTCAAGATGTTGGTTGTAGTCGTGCTTCTCTACGCCATATGCCTTCTGCCCAATCAAGTCGTGTGGCTTTGGTATGAGTTTGGGTCAGGTGCCAATTGGCCCCATTTAAGTACATTTCTTACTTTCGGAAGTCTTATGGTTTATGTTAATAGCTGTGTAAACCCACTTCTCTATGCTGGTATGAACGACGAATTCAGGAAAGGTTTTGCTAAGATTCTCAAATGTCGATGCAAAAATGATCGTTCGTGTTAGTTGCACTCATTTCATTATATTTTAGGGAAAGGAAACCACATAGGTGTATTTAACCACTCACGACTCCTTAGAGTAATTTAGGGATGAAGAAAACTCCCGATCTACTGAGCAACATGTACGGCTCAGGGAATTAGGAGAACTAAAATAATAATTTTTTTAGGATGTCGAGACGAAAGTTGGAGGGGAAATTACACTCGGATTAAGCAGAGAAGCGATGAGACTAAGCTCTCTAGCAAATCAAAGACCGCAAAAAGTAGTCAACAATACAGTAAAAGATTGTCGTCTCCCTAATCAAAAAAGTAAAGGAGGATGGAAGTTGATTTTTACATTTTAAACGGATTCAGGAAACGTCGAACAAATAATCTGATACAACGTGAGCAACAATTGAGATTCCATTATGGCTAGATCTGTTTGTCTTCCATCGCTTTGAGGGTTCTCTACTAACCTTTTGAGTGCAGGTGGCTATTAAAAACTATAACTGAACAATGACTGCTACTCAATTGCTATCATTATCGGAAGCTATTGAATATAGCTGTTGACCGATGCTTGAATAGTTACTAGGAACTCTGATTGCCATAAAGTAATCCTTTGGTGTTGAGGTCTGTACAGTAGTTACATGGGAAAAATATTCGCAATCACATAACACCAAATTTATAAAGGCGAACTCTTGAAAATTATATAATAATAATAATAATAATAATAATAATAATACGTATGAATATATGAACTTCATATATTTCATTGTATCTAATAATAATAATAATAATAATAATAATAATAATAATAATAATAAACAATCTTTAAGGAGGAAGCGCCCGTCACGTAAATACGTGGTTTTCAGGGAGGTCCTCCGAAAAATAAAAAGTATTAAAAGCTAAAATAAGAAATACAATTATCACAGATCTAAAACGGTGTATATCTAAAGTTTTATCCATCATTTAAAGTATTTATCCATTAAGAATCTTGTAAGGTTTTCCTTAAAAATTGTGCATGGCATTGGCCTTCTTAAAAATACTGGGAGGGACATCCAGTCATTTGTAAAACGGAAGTAGACACCCTCTTTGCGCATTCCGTTTTAGGTTTAGGCAGTCTAGGCAAGTAGCCATTTCTAGTGGTTGTAGCCATGCGAACTTCTCAATGTCGATTTAAAACTTTCAAAATGTTGCGGAATGTCTCCTTTGATTGCATTATATTATAAGACCATATATACATATTTGCACCCGCAGGTCAAATCAATGAGTGAAGAGGCCATTATGGAAACTTCATAAAAGAACTCTGAACTGCGTTTTTCTCGTTGATTAGTTAAGAACGATAACTTACCGTGAGATTGTCTGAGTTGAATTAAACAAGATGCTATTTGCTGGCGAGCCCTAGCGAGGCAGGAGCCTATTCTTTACAATAGCGAGAAAATTAAAAGATAAAACTTGTCAGATGTAAGATCTGAGACATGCGCAGTCGAATGCGTTTTTTATATCTGGGGTGCTTGTGACGACATCACGTGAAATACAAGTGGAAATATTGATCGATTTCGAGCAATAGCTATGTAAAGCAGTCCTGCTCTGCTAGAAATCAAGGACACGATAAACGAGGTGGGTTTTTAATGCAGATTTCTTTAATTGCTCGTGGAAGTATTCATAAAAGTCATGAACGGTTTAGTGATGACTCTCAGATCAAGGAAGACAAGAGATTTTTATGTGTTTGGCTGCTCTGTTATGTGAGCAATTTTTGCCGATTCGCGAATGGAGGTGCCAAGATATCTTATAAGTATTTCCTTCAAGCTCTGACGCCAGCACCCACTTTCACATTGAAATTCCTAGTAGTAATAGTAATTGAACTTAGTGGAGTGCTATCTGGTCTAAGATCATACACGTGATTTCATAATCGTACGAACGCGCAGCGCCATTTTGATTTGAAAAAACAACTATGATTTCAGACCAAAATTGCACGTCATGAAGTTCAATTACGACTTCATTACATTCGGGGCCAGTAGTACTTCTTCAGCTTCCCTCTCGAGTAGAGCGATGGTTAGTTACGGTAGATCCCCCTTTAACAACTTTGCTGAGTCAGTTTCTATCGTTGCTTAAGAAGAATTTCCCATCTCGTTAGATCACAACTCTTGCAGATATTTCAATCGATAATTTTCACAACCTAGCCATTTTTCTGGTTCCTGTACTGATTTTACAGTGGTTTCTTGCATTCTGTCATTTTACGGAAAATAGGTCATATCTCTCTTCGCACGTCCTGCATACTACTGAAGTCACACTGTCATAGATCTTTCTTTTTAATGCGATTCATGCCAAGAGCTTGATCTTGTGCAAGCCGTATGAAGGTCTAAAATTCTCCCTTAACCTCTCCTATTATTTTAATCTACAACTGGTTTATCGCCCCTGAAATATTGTTCGTGTAATATCTCAGGCTAATATACTTTTTCTACTCTCGTTTGTTCACGATAAATTCCCTTTTCACAGCCTGGTACAAAGTTTTAACCTTTTTAAACAACAGTTATCATCATCCTATAATCAAAAACTTCGCTTCAATACATTTGTCATTACCTGCAGTACGTCTTCTGTTTGTGTTTCATTGGCTGAGACCGCACATCCCATGATAATGAAACGGAAAATGAAACGGAAGATGGAACTTAAGTGGATAGTTTTAGAAAAGATGCAAATTTTATAGCCTTGGATAGACGCAACACGACAACAGTGGCAATCCGTTTTTTCTTCATTTTTTCATCATTTCCACATTGTCAAACGAATCCTATTAAAATATACTCCGTGGCTGATGAGTTATCTTGTTGGTGCTACCGCCTTTTCACTGACCAGTATAAGTTATGTAATAAAAGCTCTATCTTCGTTTTAATTCGTAATTGTTACCTTTTTGCTATATAAAACGATTGAGACTTAGAGATTAGAGTGAATGATTTTGAAAACTTTCACAGAATCAATATTAGCTTTTGAACAATAAAGGATAGAAAAACATCTTTTCAGCTTAATGAACTCGAACCAAGTTACTTCGCCAAAGGAATATTTGAATAGGTTTTCACAGATGGATTTTTAGGAAACAAATACTAAATATTTTCTCAACGGAAAAAGAATGCAACAAAGAAATAAAAAAGTAAAGAGAGAGAGAGAGAAAAAAAACAACAATAAAGAGAGTAAATTACAAGTAGATCCAAGGTAAACAAAGTATACTTTTTTATTTCAAGAAGTGATAACAAAATGAATTAAACCACGGCTTTTGCAAAATGCAAACAACGTTAGGTTTGTACAGTGCTGTGTACATTCTACAAAAGGCATGCCGCTCTGATTCAGTTTGTAAAACAAAACACTTCGTCTGAGAAAGTTGGCAAAAAGGTCCATCTCCCAAAACTTCCTCCGATTCATATCTGCGACTCATATTCAGGCGAAGAATATATGAAAGTTATTATCCTGAGCAATAGGGGTGCATATCACATATTATTCATGGCAGGATATCTGTCAGAAAGATTGATTTCACGTCATTGTCACCATAAGAAGAGAGGAAGCCGACCAACCTTAATGCTAAACTTTATTTCGTACGTAAGCTGCAAATCACATAAAAGTTGTCGCCAAAAACAAACGGAGTTGCTTTAGAGCTAAAAGCCATCAAAAGAAGGTAGGTAGATTGATGAGAATACTGTTCAATTTTCGTTGACTCCACAAACAAGCAAAATAAAACAGGTTAGGGCATGAAGCTGTTCAAAAGATGAGGAGATTTGTTACTTAGCTGTAGCGAAGTGGCATCAATTCACAGTACGTAAGCGCACGAGTCTTGCTTGAACTGAACTTATCCACATATATTTTAGCGTCATAAATCGGTTGTAAATCGGAACACAAAGTAGGGTTTTTCTCCTGGATTCAACAAGAATTCATAACATAAATTTTGCAAACTCATGACGACGTTTCTTTAAGGATTACTAAAATTAAACACACCCCAAATTTGCATATAGCCAAAAATATTAACCAGCTCAGAAGCGCGATCGAGTAGCGTGACAAGTAAGGCGAAAGGCATAAAATTAATCAAGAGGAACTACATTTTCCTAAAATCTTGACAAAACATAATTGAAAACCACAAAAAATACATTTTTTGCGCTTTCGCTCAAGTGAACAAACCTTTGAAAGCAAAATACAAAATGTTCAAGTTTAATCATTTTCCGAAAACGTAATCTATATTGATTTTGATATACTGAAGGCTAGTTGACATTCAAATGTTCCTGTTTGCTTAAGTAAATTCCTTTTGCTTCGTTTTCATTTGGCATAAATATCAGATCATCTAGGTGTGGTAGAGGTATTATATCCCTTGCGTTCCCCAGTTATTTTGCAGCCTCAGAAATATGTATGAAAGATATTTCAATATGGCACCGTGCTTTTCGCGGATCTCAAAAATGTTAAAAAATTACACACTTTTTTCTGTATTGGTTTTTCTTACAGCTTTCCACTAGTTTTATTCACCCTATAATGGATCCAAAAGCTAATCCTTGTTTCTTGAGAATTAATTAGAAATAGGTCTTTATTATCAAATACTCGAAATTTTAAATCAAAGGCATCAAAATTTCAATTTCGAGTAGATTTGCTGGCTGGCGGTCGAGTTCCCCTGTCTCTTTTGTGCTATCTTTAATTGGCATTGACTACTGATTGTTCAACCACCTCGATGATTAAATTATACATTCAGAATTTTTAACTTAATTAGCCTCTGACCGTTAGACCAGAGTCAATATAAATCAATTTTAACAGTCTTATCCCTTCCTTTTTCTTTCTTCCACTATCGTCAATACAAACTCTTGGGAGAAATGTTTCCCATCTTCTTTTTAGCTTTTCAGTTTCCCAATCACAGTTCAGAATGGATTTATTTAATTTTGTTCAAGCTGACATGTTCAATGGGATGTAATAATTAGCAGTGAAAAAGCTTGATGGTCAACCTGGGCAGGTAAATTAAATGTAGATTTCTGCGCCAATGTTTTACCGTTTTTTTTTTTTAAACGATCAATAGCGCTTTATACTAATGACGTCATGAGATTTTAGACCCCCCGCGTGACTCAGACAAACAAACTCCACTTCTTTGAGAGCTACAAGGGAAATGGCGAGTAGTTCGCTTATTCCCTTACAGTTCTGACCGACGAGGACGGCGTTCCTGGCTCCAAATTGGAAAGAGAACCGGAAGAATACACTCATTGTGTAGACCAGCTAAAACGGTGGTTAAAATGTAGGGGCTTAAAATCAAGCGGTAAACGAGAAGATCTTGTACAGACTGTGTGAGATGCGGGAATTATCACACCCTTGATCCGGCAATCGATCATGGAAAATGGTTTGCTGCCAAAGTTCTTCAAGAAAATTCTGATGTATACAATGTAAAAAGGGGGTTGACAGGCCTACACGACTCCCCAGCGAGTGTTTAGAATAGCCTGTTCAAAGTTTGGCCCTCACGAGTATGTCTTTGAGCGATCGCCCTCTTTTGTAAGATACGAGCGGCGGATTTTTGTATATTGCGCTAAATACTGGTTGTGTTTCTATTAAATGCCAGTTCATGTAGTTTATGTAATTAATGTTCGTGCAGTTGTCATTGAATAATTTCTGTTTCTTTGACGCTGAATTTTCTCTTTCTTTCGGTGCTTTCCTCTTAGGAGCATGTGCTCAACTTACTTGCGCTGGTCTA